GGTAGTATTCTATATGAAGTTTTCTTCCCCTTGCTTTTTTTTTTTTTTTTTTTTTGCTTACATCCTATGGATAATTTCAGGACATTTTAAACAATAGTATATTATGATAATAAATAAAAATGTCCACTGGGCTATTAATTTAAAAAAACAACCCTCTTAGTTAACAAGGTACTTAAATAAATAGTTGGGTTTATGGCAGCTCAGCTTATCACATTTGGATGAGGCCCTTTTGGAAAGATAGTCTGCTGTCCTTCCATGCCACCTAACTGTATTTCTGCCAGGCGTCAGTGTTTTCTGTTTCTTCAAAATAATGGTAGCCCGTGCTGAGTGACATCTCACAGGTATCCTGATTTTTTTTGTTTTTGTTTTTTGGGGTACTAGGGATTGAACCCAGGGGCACTTAGCCCACTGAGGCACATCCCCAGCCCTTTTTTCTATTTTGTTTAGAGACAGTGTCTCAGTGAGTTGCTTAGGGCCTTGCTAAGTTGCTGAGGCTGGCTTTGAACTCACAATCCTAGAGGAGTATAGTGGCACACATGGTGACCTTTGCCTCCCTAGCCACTGGGATTATAGGCGTGCGCCATGTGATGATTTCTGGAGGACCTGGGAAAGTATTCATTTTTACTGTCAGAGCAGCAAAGACTGTAGTGGCCAACAGGGTCTCTTCCCTTAAGGTCATTCTAGGAAGCTGCTTTCCGCCCCTCCCCGCCCCCCAAAAAAAGGAGCTCTTGGAAATGGCTCTCTTCTCTGCTTCCTACAAATACAATGATTTCATGCAGCAGGTGACTTCATTATGTGTCTTTTAAGAAGCATTTTTGTGAAATTTATGTATTTTAATCACTATACCAGAATAACAATTGAAGTTCTTCCTCTTTTTTTTCATTTATTGACACCTTGTAGTTAAAAATACAGACCCTGTATCCCCTGTGGGGCCCACAACTCCCCACCAGACTTTTTTCACATTGTAATTTCAGTAATGCATACACAAGGGCTCAATCCATAGCACCAAAAACCAACCAGCCAATCAAATATTTTTTGTTTCAGATTACAAGCATGTTAGCAAAATAAAATAATTTCAGTTGGGGAAAAACAGCTTCTCTATACCGTTGGTTTTGGCAGGTTGTAAAACAACCTAATATCAGGAACCTGTGGGGTCTGGGGTTGACTTTATTAATTTTTTTTTATTAAATTTTATTGATGTCCTATCTTTTTTAAAAATATTTTTTAGTTGTAGATGGACATAGTACCTTTATTTATTTATCTTTATGTGGTGCTAAGGATTGACCCAGTGCCTCACCCATGCTAGGGAAGCGCTCTACCACTGAGCCACAACCTCAGCCTCGACTTTATTGATTTCTTAAGACCTAATTTTCCAGCCAGGTGTGGTGATGTGGTCATGCATGCCTATAATCCCAGATATTAAGTCAGGAGGCTGAGGTACTATTGCAAATTTGAGGCTAGCCTGGGCAATTTTGTAAGACCTTGTCTCAAAAGAAAATAAAAGCTGGGTATAATGGTGCATACCAGTAATCCCTGCTGTCAGGAGGCTGAAGCAAGAGTATTGAAAGTTCAAGACCAATTTTGTTGTTTCTGACCACTTCTTCACTTTCAAAGTAAATCCTTGATAGATCTCTTGTTAGATTTGGTGAGGATGCACTTTCTTTTTCTAATGTCTAGAAATGATGAAGAGTCCATTCTGACTTATAAAAAAAGTACTACAGACCAGCTCTCACAGGACAAATGAAAAACAGCACTGTCTTCACTTTGATGTTTAGAATTTGTGAACATAAATGGTTGCAATGCTGTCAGAAGAGATATGAGGAAAGATAACGAAGTGCTATCCTTTTAGCCATACTTGTAGCTGGCCTTTGGTGTGCTGGGTGAGCTCCTAAGGATGGCCCCATTTCAGTGAGCTTTCCATGGTAGCAGCCTTGAATGTTGAGAAGGGGAATGGGGATTCCAATTTTTCATCCCCTATCATCCTCCCACACACTACCATCTTTTTTCCTCCCTAGCTTAATACAAATTTTATATCAAGCTACTTAAAACACAAAGTATTAAGCTCTCAGTATACTATGGAAATTATGTCTCTAATACAGAGTGATTGAGCAATAACAATACTGCTTGTCTTAATGTCAATATGAATTTGTCTCATCTTGTCTGAAACATAATTGAACAAGTTCAAACTCAGGCAAGTCTTTGAGTTCACTATTCATTTCTCAAAAGCACTTTCTTACACATACATGCATAGCCTTTGTTTTTGATCCTTTTCTTTCTTTTAAGCTTGTTTTCTATTCTTTAATTCTTATTTTTTGTTACTTAATTTCTGGTATAGAGAAAATATAAGGCTAGGGCTGTAGCTCAGTTGCCACACATGCACAAGCCCCTGGGTTCAATCCCCAGCAGCACACACACAGAAAATATACATTATTTCTTAGATTAAGTATTATTATTAGTAGTAGTAGTATTTTATTAATTAATTTGTTTATTGGTACTGGAGATTTCAGATGTGTTTTACCACTGAGTCACTTCCTGAGCCCTTTTTAGTTTTGAGACAGGGTCTTGCTAAGTTTTTTAGGGACTCACCAAGTTGCTGAGGCTGGCTTTGAACTTGCGATCCTTCTGCCTCAGCTTACCTAGTTGTTGGGATTTTAGGTATGTACCTCAGTATCTAGCATTAGACTCATCTCTTTTTTTTTTTTTGATACCTTTATTTTATTTATTTATTTTTATGTGGTGTTGAGGCTCAAATCCAGTGTCTCACAGATGCTAGACAAGAGTTTTACCACTGAGCTACAGCCCCACCCCCAATTAGACTTGTTTCTGTTATGACTTCAAAAGTTTCCTTAGCAGGCTGGCGTTGTGGCTCAGTGGTAGATCACTCACCTAGCATGTGCGAGGCCTTGGGTTTGATCCTCAGAACCATATAAAAATGAATAAAAAGTAAAGGTATTGCGTCCAACTAAAAAATAAATATTAAAAAAGTTTCCTAGCATATTATAAACTGGCTCTTTTATTCTGTGTATATGTGGTATGGGGCTGTTGGTGCTTCTTATAGGGCTTCACCAAGTAATTTGATCTTGCCGAATTTGTGCACATGCTCTGTGTTGTCAGGCGGAACTAGAATAGCAGCAGCACAATTAACAGGGATTCTTATTTGCAGGAAAGGATTTTTTTTCCTTTTTTTAAAGGATTGGGGATCGCCCCAGGGGTGCTTTAGCACTATGCTACATCCCTAGCCCTTTTAATTTTTTTTTATGTAGAGATGGGGTCTTGCTGAATTGGCCTAAAACTTGTGATCCTCCTGCCTCAAACCCCAAAATGACTGGGATTACACCAGCTGCACCAGGCTACAAGAAAGAGTTTTCAAACTTGACTACTGTTTTCTCTGTTTGAGCCTTTTTCTCTCCTTGCCTGCTCGGTTTTCCCCTGACCATAGAATTATTTTAATTTTGTTGAAAGTTAATGAGTTAACAGGTTGCACTCTGTGTCTTAAAAAACAGTGTTCATAATATATAATGGTCTTAGCCAAAAGTCATTTTAAAAATACCATTTACAAAGTTTTTTCTATAAAGAAATACATTGTAAATACAGTGGTACCATTTGGTTTTTTAATGTGGAACTTGAGTCCCTCTAGTGGGTAGTAAAATTTGAGATAGGACAAGAAAAATTTGGATTTTCAGTATACCTGCTTGCATATTCAGTGTTCTCATTGGTACTCTTGTTCTCCATCCCAAGCTGAGAGGCAGTTAGTTCTCTGCTAGCCCCTAATGGCCCTCTTCCCAGCCAAAATTCAGAAATCCTCCTTCTTTCACCCATGTGATCTCAGTGGCCCTGGTCACTGCTAGCCTGTGATCACACAAGCTTGCTAGCTGCTTTGTTTCAAGCTTCAGTAAGTGTAATTCAAGCTATAAGTTGGTGATTTTATGCCATGAATATTTTATTTTTTTTATTTCTTGATACTGGGTATTGAATCCGGGGTGCTTTACCTCTGAGCTGCATCCTAAGCCTTTTTTTTTTTAAGTTTTTAGTTATAGGTGAACACAATACCTTTATTTTATTTATTTATTATTTGGTACCGAGAATCGAACCCAGTGCCTCACAGGCGTGCTAGGCGAGCCCTCTACCACTGACCCACAACCCCAGCCCCTACGTCCCTTTCCTTTTTATTTTTTTAGTACCAGAGAGTGAACCCAGGAGTGCTTAACCATATCCTCAGCCAGTTATATCTTTTATTTTTGAGACAGGATCTCATTAAGTTGTTTAGGGCCTTGCTAATTTATTGAAGCTGGCCTTGAACTTGTAATTCTCCTGCCTCACTCCCAAGTTGCTGGGATTATAGGCGTATACCACCGTGCCTGGCTTGCCATGGAGTTCTTTATAGAAAAGATCACAGCAACCCAGGTTCCTTGGGTTGCCATGAAATAAATAATTGTTGAAGGCCTGCTTTGGGCACATAGGTGAGGACATTTAGCAGTTGGAGAAATTCTGTATTGATGGTTAGAACAGAGGCAGGATGGTGTGATTGCAAAGAATGAGGGCTTGCCAGGAATGGTGGCAACATACCTGTAATATCGGACTTAGGAGGCTGAGGCAAGAGAATCTACAAGTTTGAGTCCGGCCAGGCAGGGCAGCTTAGCTCAGTGCTGGAGTGTCCCTAGGTTTAATCTTCAGAACTGGGAAGGAAGAAAAAAAAAAAAAGAATTTAGGGTTCAGATCCCAACTTTGCCATAACTAGCTTTGTGACCTTCAGCTGTGATCATATGCCTCTCTGTACCTTAGTTTTCCCTTTTGTAAAATGAAGAGACGGTAAAACTGCCTTGCAAGGTTGTTTTAAGTATTGGAAATGTTATGTAAATGGGTTTGTGTTTTTAGTGTTCAGTGATTGGTAGCAGAAGTCTTGGAAATATCCCCTACTTGAGTCTCAATAATTAAATATATGGGATTTAATTATTTGGATGACTTTTCATCTTTTCTGTATTCCTTCTTTTTTCTTTCAGTTACCACCAAGTAAGCGAAGAAAATTAGAGAAGTCAAGAAAACCCATTACATTTGTAGTGTTGGAGTCTGTGATGAAAGAATTATCCCTCAAAGCATCATCTTTGGGCTCTGAGACAGTGGAGGGCATAGTGGTTGTGACAACATGGATAGAAAAAATTCTCACTGATTTAAAGGTACGTGGTTAAGCACATTGATTGAATACTCAATAACCTCCCAACCAGCCTGCTTGCCTGCCTTCCCTTTCCCACTTGCCCTTCCCTCCCTTTTTTTCTCTTTTTCTTTCTTTTAATTTCATGTAAAATTCAGTTTTTCCTCCACACAGGTCCAGCATAAACGAGTTCCCTGTGGAAAAGAGGAAGCTAGTCTTTTCCTGACAGCCATAGAAAACTCCTGGATTCACTTAAGGCGAAAGAAAAGAAAGCAAGTGAGACAGCTGAGGGAAGTGCCTCGAGCTCCTGAGGATGTCATACAGGCCTTGGAGGAGAGAAAAGCCATCCCCAGAGAGTCGGGCAATAGCCAGGATGTGGCCCTGAGCCCCCAGGAGGGTACCCTTTGTGGGTCTACTCTGCAGGAGGGCGAGTCTGCCACTGTTGGGGGCTACTGCCCAAGCCAGGAGTCACTGTCCCAAGAGGAAACCCCAGAACCCATGGAGGATGAAAGGAGTGAGGAAAGGGGAGGGGAGGAGGTTGTGGAAAGTTGTAAAGTCTCTTGCAACGAAACCCAGGACCGAGAGGCTTCTGAGCAATATAGCAACCCAGGGGCCGAAAAGGGGAAGCCCCTCCAAGGAGCAGCTGGACATTACCTATTTAAGTGTTTGATAAACATTAAGAAGGAAATGGATGATGCCTTAGTTGAAATGCATTGGGTTGAGGGCCAGAACAGAGATTTGATGAACCAGCTTTGTACCTATATACGTAACCAGATTTTCAGGCTTGTTGCTAGTTAACTCCATACTTCTTGCAGTTACAAGAGTGTCTATAGAGGACTGGGGGTGTAGCTCAACTTCGCATGCGGAAGGCCCTGAGTTCCATCCCCAGTACCACCCCCCCTCAAAAAAAAAAAAAAAGTCTATTAAACAAATTGTTTGGAGTAGCCTAAATGGTGGCAAGAGGAATTTTACCACTGGCCTATTAGTAGTATTATGTGGAATTATCTTAAAAAGCAGAAATCAATCCATTTTATTAAAGTTATAAGGAGTTATAGTTCAGTAGTTCAGGAGGAAGAATTATGGTTGTCAGCAACAACAAAAAGATGTAAACTCAGGAGGGATTTAAAACTGACTCAAGCTGGTCACCTCCGCTTTGGACTGATTTCATGAGGCTAAGGTATCGTTTGTGGTGTCTGGTCTTGGGTCAGCACTTCCCAGAACATCATGGTTTGGTTCCCCAGGGTCTTCATGAAGAGAAGACACTCTTGTCCTCCAATGGAGAGCAGAACAGAAAGGCCCTAGAGCCTACTTCTAGAGTTACCTTTAAGACTAAACCTCTGCACCCTGGGTACATATGATTGATTAACTGTGCTCCAGTCCCCAGAGATGAGCTGGCCTGATGGGAGATGGTGGGAGAGTTGGGAGGAGAAACCTTAATAAGATCAGGAAGAAGGGCCCCTCTGGGATACGCCTGGGAAATGGCACATTGCTGACTCCTGGCTATTTTGATATTGCTTATTTCAGAAGCAGAATTAAATGAACAAAACTCCTAGATACGACTGAGACAACAAAATACACCCATACCCATTTTGTAGCAGTTTTGCCACTGTTTGGTTTTTGTTGAAACACAAGAAGTGGAACTTGTTTTATTTTTAATATAAGAATATTCAGAATTAAACTGTCAATACTGTTTGAATCCTGGGATTGGGGAAAATACTTTCATAGAGAATGATGGTAAAAATGTGAACAAGGCACTGTGTGCAGTAGTAGCTTAAGAAAGCCTCTATTGGCAGGTAATTTGTTGCTGATCAAGTGCTGCTTTTTTATGTCTTCCCTTGTAATCCCTTCTGTGCATTACCTGCTAGCACTGGAGCATTCTGGGGTCAAGTTAACCGTGTCATCAGAACATGTTTCTAATCCAAATGCCAGAGTTCAGCAGATATCTCTGGAAGGCATTCTTGGTTTTTGTTCTCTTAGTGTCTCAGTAAACCATTTCTGTGCATGATTCACACCGCTCAATTTTGTACCAGTACCCTGATGTTCTGTTTAGAGTAAAATCTTTCAGTCTAATACCAGAGCTCCTTGCCCACTCCAATGAAGATGACCTCCCTGTTGAGAGGTGGCTGTTAGGACAGAAAGCTAGTGACTGGCATATTTTGGTGGCGGCTAGATTAGACCCTCTACAAAGGCATAAGGGAATGAAAATAGTTTGTCTCATTTTGGCAGTAGAACTGGGAAAAGAGGTTGTTTTAAACACAGGGCTCTTTGCATACTAAACAAGCATAATACCACTGAACTCTGTCCCCGGCCCTTTATTTTATTTTAAGACAGGGTCTTACCACATTACACAGGCTGGCCTCAAACTTGTGATCCTCTTGCTTAAGCTTCTGAGTAGGTGGGACTACTGGTGTGCACCATTGTGCATAGCTGGGAAAAGAGCATTTTAACCAGTAACCTGTGTTCTAAACCTAGTCTATGGATCTCCAGATAATCCATAACCCTCCTGGGATTATTTCTAAAAGCTCTATGAGCGTGTGTGTGAGAGCGTGTGTGTGTGTGTGTGTGTGTGTGTGTGTGTGTGTGTGTATTTTCCTGAGGAGAGGATTCATGACATAGGGAGAGGGGTGAGTGACCTGATAAGGATAAAGAACCACCATTCTAGTCCAGACATTCATTTGACCAATGCTCAGGGTTATATAGAGCCAAGACTCAATCCAGGGCTTTGGATCCTTTGTCCTGTAATTTTTGATGTATTGGCTTAGGCCATCTTTTTTTTTTAATATTTATTTTTTAGTTGTACACAATACCTTTATTTTATTTCTTTATTTTTATGTGGTGCTAAGGATTGAACCCTGGGTCTTGCACATGCTAGGCGAGTGCTCTACTGCTGAGCCACAATTCCAGCCCTTGGCTTAGGTCATCTTGCTGTACTCACCTCTGATTACTATCACATTTGAATCAGATGCAGGGCCCAAACTTAGTTTTCTTGAAATTTTAGGATTTTTTAGTTAACTGGCAGCTGTTCATTCTGTAAGTATTTTTAAGTATGTATTGTTTCTTTGTTTCATTCTAAAAGAGTAGCAGATGCTCAAAGATTTGGAAAAATTAGGCTGGGGATATACAGTGGTAGAATGCTTGCCTAGAATGGGTGAGACCCTTGACTTGATCCCTATCACCAAATACAAAACAAAACAAAAAACCCACCCACAACTTTAGCCTTCTCTGATATTGTTATTTGTGGGTCTCCCTCCAGTCTTTCTAGAGATGCTATGTATATGTGAATTTAACTTTGAATGTATTTATTGTGCTTTTCTTTTGTTTTGCTACTGGGGATTCAACCCAGTCAGGGGTGCTCTACCTCCCCAGCCACCCTTTTTATTTTGAGATGGGTTTCTCTAAGTAGCCAAGACTGTCCTCGAACTTGTGGATCCTCTTGCCTCAACCTCTTGAGTCTCTGGGATTATAAGCTATATTGTAGTCTTCATTTAACATCTCATAAGTATTTTTCCACATTATAATGGTAATGTACTTATTTATACTCCTTGCCTGTTCACAATGTCCTTCAGGCACAGTATTGGCCTTTATTCAGGTCTCCTTCACAGGTATTCTCATAATACTCTTAACTGGAGACAAAATGTGTGTCTGTTTGTATGTGTTTCAGTCCCATGTTTAAGGCTTTGTGTTATAGAGGATGTTTTAAAGTGTTAAACTAATGATCCTAGAATTTTAAAGAATGACAAGAGCAGTGTTCACAGTCTTTGTAAAACTAGAACTATGAGTGCTTTGCATTTGTATGTCATTTCCTTCTCTGAGAAGAATAGTTTGTCTTTCCCTCTCTCTCTCACTCCCTCTTTCTTTTCTTTCTTTATTTCCTACTAAAATTGAACCCAGGCCTTGTATATGCTAGGTAAGCACTATTCCCCAGCCCCAGAATAGTTTATTTCTTAAATTAAGGAGAGGGCATTGAAAACTTTATAAATGGTCATCTAAGAATTGTGTTGGTTATGCATGTGCTTTAATTTTATAATGTCTATCTTTAGTATGGGGGGAAAGTTTTTTGTTTTTTTAAGAAATATATTACTGCCCACATGTTGCAGTGTTGAGTGACACTCTCTGTAAGTGTCTGGAGGTCAAATTCATCTTGGTGTTGGTGGATTGGTATGAAATGAAATCTTTGTGGTGTTATCTTAAATTCTATTCTGGTCCCTGGAATTGACTTCTGATATTCCGATAGCTAAAATGGGAACAGAAGTTGAGCTTGTTTTCCAAGATGAACTAAAGCTGCTTTTGTTTTCTCTCAGTTTGGTTTCTTTACCCCACATCCTTGCCCGACTGCTCCTACACCAGAGTTTTGCTGCATGTCCTGGCAAGGTTGATGGCTCTGTGGTGGGGTTTTCAGCTAATCTTAGAGTTCATGTTCATTATTTTAGTATGTATTTTTAAAAATATAAAATACATCTTTTCGTGGTGAAAATGAAAGTTTACTATGTAAGCACACCGCCTTCTAAGCTCTGGAAAGAGTAATAACCACATGTGTAGAAAAGATGCAAAGTCTGTGGAGACTGAGGACTTTGAAAGAAGGGAGCTTTTTAAAATTCTTGAATGCTGCTGGTGCCTCTCTCTCTTACCTAGCCCACAGCACTTCCCTCAGTAGCCACATGGGGGCACCTTCGGCCCTCTTATCAAGCACTTTAACTTCACTGTGGGAATCCATAAAATTGTGTCCAAGGTATTTTCTTGAAATATACAGTTGCTACCCAGGTAAGCATCTTTATATAAACAAGGACATTTTTACATTAAAAACTTTGAAAAATGAAAAAAGGGAAAACTACTATCATGATCTTTTTATCCAGCACAATACAATCCCTTTCAGACTTTTTATGTTTTGTTTTTTTCATAGTCGCAGTTGACTATCTTTTTCTTTTCTTTCTATCTCTCTTCATATTGTGGAATGTTCTCAGGTTGTACCTACTCTTTTGGATCAATTTTTTTATTAGTATGTAGTTAATGGGGATACCAGAGTGGAAAGGTTTAGTGATTTTGAAACAAAAACTTCTCAAAAGCCTTATGTTCCAGGACAAGTAACAAGAGCACCAAGAAAGATGGTTATTCATGTTCTTTTGTATGTTCATGCTTTAGGTTTATCTGGCTGGCTAACTAATGTGCATGTAATGTGTTGTTTCAAAAAATATATATCAAAAGTTGGTGAGGATTCTGTGTTGTGTATATTACGCAGGTCAGCTTGGCCTTGTTCCTTATAAGGTATATCTGTGTAGAACAGGAATATTACCCTAGGGTCTATGTGGCTCTAGGAACAGTTGCATCTACTCTTATTTTATGGCACAGGATCAAGTGTAAGTGGCTACCCAAAACTGATTAGCCCATTAGGAAGAAGAAAATACAGTTTGGAATACTAGGTTAGGAGCCTCCTGGAAGAAGGTGCCACCTAGGGCATGTCCAGAGTAAAAGGATGTAATCACATCATTTTTAGGGAAGTTGGTGCTCCAGAGATTTGGTTTCCTGAAAGGGCACTAACCTCAGTAGAACCCTGTGCTGTTCAGTTTAAGAATGAATTAGCCAGAGGCTGAGGCAGGAGGATTGCCAAGTTCAAGGCCAACCTCAGTAACTTAGTGAGACCCTATCTCAAAATAAAAAATAAAATGGGCTAGGGATTTGGCTCAGTAATTAAGCACCTCTGGTTTAAAAAAAAAAAAAAAGTTGGCCTTTGCTACCTGGAGTTAGGGCATTGGTGAATTTGAACCTTTCCAGTATTTCCAAATATATACCCTTTGGTGCTAGTACCAGTGTACTATTAGACAGCCCTGCACAGGGCTTACCCCACTAGCAACAGAGCCTCAGATGCACACACCAGAGAGTTCCTGCTCTGCTCTGCTCTCATTCAGATCCTCTGCTGTGACTCACCCAAATGACTAAAAGATGGGTTTATTTCTTTAATTGCTGGTTAGAACAGCTAATGCTGCCTTTTGGAAGCTGTGCTTTTACTCCAGGGAACTATGTTGTGACTACGTGAAGACCTTGCACCTCTAAATGCCCTTCAAGGTGTAGACATATCTGCCTATCTCAGTCTAAGCAGAAACATCAGGGCCTCTAAACTCCTCAGGGAAGTATGTGACCGCAGGTGCTCATTAGGACTGAGGGAACTGAGAGAAGAAGGTGTGAAGCAGATAGTGCAGTTGCGTTTGGCAGAACTGGCTTGGATGTGATGCTCTGAAGAGGGCAAACGATGTATAAAAAAAAAAGTTGGACTTTTCCAACTTCCCTATGGGAGTAAAAACAGGAAAGAACACCACTTGGTAGTTCAACACTGGGTCTCTGTTGCAGATCAACTCCTTATGTAGTGTAAGCCTTGGCTTCCTCATGTCAGACTAAAGACTTCTTGCTCCACAGGTTATGGCAAGACTGCAGTGAGTGAAGAACTTGAGCACATAGGGGAGTGGACTACTCAACTTGCTTTTCTCTCCTTTTCTGCTAGAGTTTTCAATTTCTGGCAGAAAATCTACCAGTGGATTCAAATGAAAAGGCTGAAACCTCAAATGTATAACTTTCCAGTATTCCCAAGTATATACCCTTTGGTGTTGAGTATTACCAACTGACCAAGATCAAACGGAAAACTTCTTCCATGTTATGGAGGGAGGGATGGGGAACCAATAATTTACTATCCATCTTCAACATAAATTGTCTCATTTAGTAACCCTGTAAGGTGGTGTGGTGCCTGCCCCTGTGTGATGAATGCAGGGACTGAAAATTCAAGAGTGCTTTAGTGACTTGTCCTAAAGTTATTCGCAGAGTAAAGTCATAAAAATAGTATTTAAACTGTTCATGAAGCCAGTGCTGGGATTTTGTGCCAAAACTCAAAATTTTGTTCCAGAAGCTGCACTTATTATGAAAATGTATGTCTAGTTCCATTTGACCTACCCCTGCAGCAGGAGGCTTCAATTATATGACACAGGGAAGAGAAGAAAAGCATGTCTTAAGCCAGCTTCACAGT